AGACCAGGTGTTGGAGGTTTTGAGGACCTGAGCAGACCAGGTGTTGGTTGTTTTGGAGGAATAATTGTCCCTTAATGGCCTGATGAAGATTTCTAGCTGTTCAGAAGTCCTGGATGGGAGCAGATGTTGTAGATAGAAACCTGTAAATGTTTTTCTGCATGGATGGAGTCTTTCCAGATGTGTAATCTGCTCTTGCCAATTACACTAATGCATCCCCATAGCATCAGAGACGCAAGCTTTTGACCTGTGGGCTGATAACAGGCTGGATGGTCCCTCTTTTCTTTAGTATAGAGGATGTGGTTTCCAATGATTTCAAACAGAACCTGGGGAGGACCCCCAGACCCCCCCACCCCAACCCCCTGGTGTGCCCACCATGATATTTGCACTCCGCTGTCGTTTGGTTTACAAATTAAGCTCTGGACAAAATGCTGTTTCTAATTGGTACCACTTACTTTTACAGCCTGTTGCTTCTCCTGGAACAAAGTTCTGAGATGTTTTGGTGCCAAATTTTGGAGTTGAGATTGTGTTTATTATAGATATCCTTATCCTATCTGAAAGGTCAAAGGTCAGAGGTCGTGGATGGGAACTGTTGTGACTGAATCTCGGGGAGTGTCGTGAATCAGTTTATTGGTAAAAGCTGATGGAGAGAAGCGTTCATGCATTATTTAGTTTCTCTATCGCATGTTTATTGCACGCACACACACAGTCTGCGGCGTGTTTGTGTGTCGCACGCACATGAGTGTGTGTAAACTGCCATGATGTTGGCGTGTTGTTCTGTCTGCAGGACTCTGAACTTCCTTCATTAGCTCTCAGGGTCCACAGCTGAAGGGTGGCAGCCGAACGTTTTGTGTGTTGCTGAAACCGACACGCAACATGCTAACATGCTAACATGCTAACATGCTAAAAGCCTTGATCGTCTCCTGTTCTTTGTGTGTCTGTCCAACGTGCACACGCTCACACACTTTTGTATCCACTGCTTCAGGAAGCCATTAGTCTGAGCCAGCCTTGATTACTTATTTATGGGTCAAACAGAGTGAGCGTCGAGGGGTGCACACATTCAGCTCGTCATCGTCTACAAACACGTGAAACACGGGAAGTCATTAAGAAAACCAAAGGTTCATGAAGCGTGTCTCAGTGTGTTCAATGTTCTTATTTTAGTACAACTCTAGTTCCATCAGAACATCTACATCCTGCTGTAAGTCTGAAAATCTGCATTAAAAACTCATAAAATGTGAGTTTGTCAGGAAACTGAGTTCTGTAGCAGAGCACGGTCTGGTGTTTCTGAGATACGCTGATGTGTCATGGTGTTGACAATGGGCTGTTGGGAGCGCTGGAGTTCAGATGAAGACAGTTTTAACCCATTCACAGCTTAAATTTGGTTAATTTGAGAGATTTTACCACTTTGTTTAACTTGGACCCTGGTGATGTCACTAACTTCTCAACTTTCTTACAATGATTGTTCGTCTTTTACAGCTGATAAAAGCTTCGGTACAGTTTGTTTCCATCTCTCACTGCTTTACGAATCACAGGAGCTCTTGTGTGAATGTTGGTGATATTTTATCTGCTCCGTCACCTCTTTCCTGCGGGATTCCGCAGGGCTTGATTCTTGGACCCTTCTGTTTTCACTGTATCTGCTCCCTTTGGGGTCAATCCCGAGGAAACTTGGTCTTTCAAAAACCAGGTGGAACCTCAGAGGAGATCGGGGTTTTCAGCTGTGGGCCTTAAACTTTGGTACAATCTGCCCCCCAACATTCGACAGGCCACTTCCCTAGTTTTTAAGTCTCTTCTAAAACACATCTGTCTTCTCTGACGTTTAACACAGTGTGATCTGATTTAGTATTTCATTGTGCTGATTTTATGTTTTTCTTTTGATGTTTTTAGTTAATTTCTGGTATAATTTTTTATTTTCTTCTTATTGATTTTTATTGTTAAGCACTTTGGTAACAGCTGCAGTTTCAAACGCGCTTTATAAATAAAGTTGTCTTGACAGTTTCCTCTCAAAGCCCCTGCAGACACTAAAAC